GCTCCCTCAGCCTGTCCTCACAGGGGAGATGCTCCAATCCTCTGAGCAACTTTGTGCTCCTTCTCCTTAACTGCCCCTCTTCGGTGCCACTTCAGGGTTTCTCCTGGTACCCAGCCCTCTGCAGCTTTCTATCCCCTAAAAAGAGCATCCTGGGGGTCCCCAGGGACCATCCCCATCTGCTGAACAAGGCAGATGTCTCCACACCCCTCATGTCTCCTCACCCCATGAGTGAGACATCCAGTTGGCACTTCCAGCTCACCATGGGCACATTTTTGGGGACAGACCCATTCAACATGACCCACAGCCTGGCCAGGGGCTGTGCTGGCACACAGAGCTGGCAGAGTGGGGGGAGATGAAGGTGTTCCCCTCCTCTTCCTCCCCAGACCATCCAAGGCATCCAAGCCAAGTGTTTCCGCACCCTGCCTGACCTGATCGGCGCCTACCAGCACCCCAACAACGGGTTGGTGACTCCCTTGCTCTACCCCGTGCACCGGGCGAAGGGAGCCCCTGACGAGGACTCAGGTGAGGCAGGAGGGGTGGCAGGGGCTGTGCAGGGCTCTGAGGTCCCACTGAGCTGGCTGTGTGCCCACAGATGGGGAGGATGGCCGAGGAGCGGGGCAGGCATCGAGCGCGGTGCTGGCTGGGGTGGGCACGTGGCTCGCCGCCCTCCCAGCCCAAAGCAGCTGCACCAGAGGCTGCAGGAGCAGGTGCACAGCAGGTAACAACCCCCTGCCCACCCTCGAGTGGGGCAGGTCCACAGCAGGTGACACCCATGGGACTGGGACAAGTCCATGGCAGGTGACACCCATGGGGTTGGGGCAGGCCCATGGCAGTAACACCTCCCTGCCCACCCTGGGGTGATGGGGTGGGTAAGCCCTGGGGGGTATCTTTATGTTCCCCCCTCTTTCAGCCCAGCCAGTGACTTCATGGGCTTTATAGCCGAGTACCTGAACCACCACCTGCAGCTGGACCTGGATGATCTGCGCCATGGGCACCCACAGCTGCGGCACCTCAGCACTGCACTGGTCACTGCCTGCAGGGCACTGCACAGGTCAGGGGTCAGGGGTGGGGAGGGACACCCCCGGGGACACTCACCTTGTCCCTGTCCTCTCATGGTGGCTGAGTGTGGCTGTCAAAGTTCAGGATGCCCATGGTGGTTCTCACTTGTTCCTCCTGGCTCTCACCTGCTCGTCTTCTCCACAGTGAGATTGACTTCACATTGGCAGGACTGGAGACACTGGTCAGGGTGTTTGACCCCCCCATGTCCCCTCGCAGCCCAGCCAGGGAGCAGGTGAGTCCCCTCATGCCCACCACAGCCCCCACCAACTGCTTCCCCTGCCAGACCCCAGAGGCACCAACATCGTGGGGTGTAGCCCAGACCCACAGGGAGGAATCCACCAATCCGTACCACTGTGCTGCTCCAAAAATCTCCATCCTTCCCTTCAGGGTCTCCTGAGCAGTGATCCAGACCTTGAGCTGCTCCTCCACAAAATATCCACTGTCAACCATCTCCTCTCTTCGCTGGAGAAGAAGGTGCCTGCCCCAGTGCTGTGGTGGAGCAGGGAGAGAGGCATGGTCATGCCATGGGCTGGGGAACTTCACTGCACCTAAATTAAACCCTCTGGCAAACCACACTGCCAGCAGTGGCACAGCCCTGGGGTGCCCAGGGCTCCCAGTTAGCCCAGTGCCCATCTCTCTGGCAGGTGCTGAAGTCACTGCAGGAGACAGTGTCAGGGCACAACCTGGCACTGCCCAGCGTGGTGGCAGCTCCCCCACCAGCTGCTAAGCCCCTGGCTGTGCAGAGCTTCGAGGTGAGAGCAGGGGCATGGCAGGGGCACCCCGGGGCAGGGCAGGAGTGGGGCAGAGCTGGAGCCACGTCCCTGCCTGCAGGTGAAGGTGGGTAAGTCTCAGCGAGCAGCCTTGATGGTGGACGTGGATTCTGGCACAGTGACCATCACCAAGAAGGGCAGTGGGTCCCCAGAGGAGATCATCCCCCAGGACAAAAGTAAGGGGCTAGTGACCCCCCCCCCCAACAGCCACCAGTGAAATCTGCAGGGCTGTAGGACTCCCTAGCACTGATGCTGGGGAGATGGACCACAGACCCTGCCACACCTTGTGCTCACACTACCCATCCCCCTCGTGGGGGAGGTGAGGGACACCACTGACCCCTGACACCCAACTTTCAGTCCTGCAGCTGATCAAATACCAGAGCATGAAGAGCAAGGTGAGGCTGGTGTGTGCCAGAGAGCCCCAGAAGGACCTGAGCAGGGACTTTGTCTTCTCCAACGCAAGGGTAAGTGGCACAAGCTGTGCCCACTGGGTGTCCTGGTGGGGGGATATGGAGCCATTGGGTAGCAGCAAATAAGTGGCCTCAGGGCTGAGACCACCCCTCCAAGCCATCTCCTACAGCTGGGGGTGATATCCCCCTGATCTTGGGAGGCTGTGCCTCCCACCTCCCCTTCTGGGCCCTGAGATACCTGTATGCCCCTGCAGAAACGAGAGGCCTTTTGCCAGCTGCTGCAGCTGATGAAGATCCAACATTCCAACCTGGATGAGCCTGACCTTATCTCGGTGTATGTTGGGACATGGAACATGGGTAAGGAGCCAGGAGAAGGTCACATTGTCCTGGGAGGCTGTTGTAGCTCATCATGAGCCTGGGTGGGGTTTGGGAGCTGCCTCAGGAAACCTCAGGTCTGAGCTGGTCCTTGGTGGGGGGAGAGGGATGGAGAAGATACCAGCTTAGGATCATAGATTCATAGATTGCTAAGGGGTTGGAATGGAGCTCAGAGATCACCCATCCCAACCCCTGCCCTGGGCAGGGACACCTCCCACCAGAGCAGGTTGCTCAAGGCTCAGCCAATCTGGCTGTGAACACTGCCAGGGTTGGGGCAGCCACAGCCTCCCTGGGCACCCTGGGACAGTGTCTCACCACCC